GTCGCAGCGGCCTTGCGGAGTTGGTTATCTGGACGCCCTTCCTCTACCCGCCTCTTTCCATCCAGAATGTGTAACCGAGCGATTCTACACGGATCTCGCATTACTTGCTAATGCCGCTCTGATCACGCCGTGCCCCGATAGGGGGTCGCTTAGCCGCAAACGCCAAAAGCACATGTTACCGCACAGGGGACACCTGCTTCTCTCCGCCCCCTGCGAACACCCTCTCCTCCTGCTCTTCTGCTCCTCCCTCTTCCCCCATCACTCTCACTCAGCTTCTGTGGGACTTGGTTTCTGGCCCCCACCCCCTCGCTGTCTTGGGAGTGTTTTAAGGAACGAGGCTAGAACCTGGAACCCTAACCACTATTTCGGTAAATTGCCCCATTAAACATCCAGCTGTACAAATGGCTGAAGCTGGGCGAGTCGCTTCAGCTAAACGGATGTTCTGGGTAAATAAACACCGTGAGTCTCTTTGGACGGGAACGTTACAGGGCGGTGCGATGGGCGGGCGGGGCCAGATGCATGACACGGGCATCACAGAGGTTAAAGACCGGCCTGATGCAAAACCGTGTGTTTTAGCTGGTGGACCAGGTCTGGTGGGACTTGCCCTGCTGTATGGAGGGTGAATGTAGCGGGCACCCGCCCCCCCAGGACGGAAACCGGAGCCCCGGCCCGGAGAGCGGCCTGACATTCCTGCTCTCCCTCCTGTTGGGTGATTTCACAGCTCATTGAGCGGAGGCCTGTGGTATGTCCTGTTTCTGTCTCCTCTGCTGAGCTGGCTCCACTCTTCCTCCTGCGCCTCCTCCCGCGCCTCCTCCAGCACATCCTTCTCCTCTTCCTTCAGGGAGGTGAACCCCGCGTTCTGCAGCATGCCACCAGCCGCCCCACCCACCGGGGCTTTGATGTGGTGAGCGATTGCGTGCGTCACAGGAGCCCCCCGCCCAGCCCGGGTTCGAGTTACCTCCTGCGGCAAAGGAGGCCGCCAGAGTCCCGCTTTGCTGCGGCTTTCTGTAAATGACCCGGTGCCTCGTAAACGATCGGGCCCATCCGCCGCCGCGGCCTTAGAAAGCTTCTCACGGATTTCTCTGGAGTGACAGCAGAGTTCCCGACTGGCAGAGTGCAGTAACTGCGAGCGTCACGCCACCTGACACATTTGTGCATCATAGGGGGGCGAAGCGATTTTAATGTGCTGTCAGCGATTGGACGCCAGACCAGCTTCACTTTTCTCATATACCGTTCCTTGGACACTGATAGTACAGACTCTAAATGTTTGTTTTCCTTGAAATGTGTAAATATTTATCTTTGGATGAAGGAAGATGCATTCAATGATTAGACAAGGCTTGGCCCTGTGGGCACTGCGGCAGGGTTGGGCCGATCGCCGTCTCCCCACCAAAGACGCCTCGGGAAAAGGCCGGATCGCTCCCAGCTTTGTTCTCTGCGTTGAGGTAGCAACCAAACCAAACAACAGCGTGTTAGGTGGGGTGGGGGGGGGGGGCAGCTTGATGGTTTTGGACCCAGTGCCATGAGAAATTGCATTTGATGCAAATTCTATCTGCGTCAGCGCCCCTGATGGGGAAGGGGGGGGCGGGGGAGGCAGAGCCAGGCTGGAGTCACAGAATTATCACAGAATTATACACGACTGGGCCATTACCAACACCATTGATCGAGGTACCCCTCCCACCCACCACCCCCCCCAGTTTTACTGAAGTCATCCACCAGCCCGTTAAGCCAAACGCCCCCCTCCCCCCCCCCCAGTGATGAATGCCCCCCCCACCTCTGAGAATGGAGAGGCTTAGCCGGAACATTCATCACCCCCCCCCAGCACCCCCCATCAGCACTGACCCAGAACGCCGAGTGTGGGACCAGCGACCGCTGTGATGAAGCCGCAATCGGGAAAACCATTAAGGCTCCCGGGAATGACGGATTTCCTCCTTCCTCCGCCACGGAAGTGAAGCCCTTGTGAAATTCAGGTATTATTTTACAGCCATTGAACTGCATCCTAATAGATGAATGAAAGTCAAATATCTTAATTTTGCAACCTAATCCTGCTGGCCATTGTTATCTAAAGGCAGGGTGAGGCGTTTGGGGGTGGGGGGGGGGGGGGGCTGTTTGATTGGACCCCCCCCCCCCCTTTCATTTCCTCGTTGACAGAGATGTCTGGCTTCCCGGCCTGTCTGCTAGACTAAACATATTTCATCGCGTCCATGTCACACTTGGTGTCCATCAATGGCCGCTTTATCTCATTAGAAAAATAACGGTGTCAGTGGCTGATGCTGTGGCAGATAGCGGGCTATTTATTTTAGGGCCCACTGTCCGGGGCTGTGCGGGCCGGCTCTGCCTGGCCTTTATCAGGGCCCGATCCCCCCTGATGATTCATGGTGTTTATCTGCCAGCAAGAGGAAGAGCTGCGCTGCGTATGGAGGGCGGCCTTTCGCACGCCATGGCCCGCGACCTGCCAGCCCTGTTCTAGGGGAAACCCAGGGGCCATCCTTACCATCAGATGGCGACGGGCGGCAGGGTGATGAGGGCCACCCGCGCTGTCCACCCCGGTGTCTGGAGATGATGGGTATTTCTGTAGGGTCCCTTTAAGAGGATGATGGGTAATTTTGTAGGCCCTTTTGTAGGGGATGATGGGTATTTCTGTAGGGTCCCTTTAAGAGGATGATGGGTAATTTTGTAGGCCCTTTTGTAGGGGATGATGGGTATTTCTGTAGGGTCCCTTTGAGAGGATGATGGGTAATTTTTGTAGGCCCTTCTGTAGAGGATGATGGGTATTTCTGTAGGGTCCCTTTAAGAGGATGATAACACTTTTTCAGTTCACAGTCAATATTCAGCAGATGTGACGTTATCTGTACACATCTCAAACAAGCCCCCTGGCAGTGTGTTCAGGGCCACATTGGGTTTTAAGCCTAACAGAAATGCATTTTCATTTTGGGTTTAGGTCACGGTTATCTGCCTGCCGGGTGATTTTCTTGACAAAAACTCCCCTTCTGGAAGGGTGAGAGGTGTCTCTGGAGCGTCAGCCGTAGCTTTTCTGGAAGCATCCATGGAGATGGAGGTGCCGACAGCCTCCTTCCCCTCCATATCAGCACACACTCGTCCACATTGTGTCGCACTCATGAACCTGATCCGTGGCTCTGGGTGTGACCACCTGGCTTCCTTTGTGTGCTGATCCGCTGCTAATTTTTGACTCTTTATTGTGCTGTCAGTGAGGCCCTCAAATGTGCTGAGATATGGTGTCTGGCTGAGCCGCACTTTTACACGCTTTTCTGCAAGGACGTTTCAGGGCTATTTGTCAACATGTTTCTGCTCTATGTTCATCTCTCTGCTTAAAAGATGAACTTTAATGTCCAGATCCAACCGTAAAAGTAAAATAAGAATTAGTGTTTCTATTTGGAGTTTTTTGCCACGGGGGGCCAGAGGCGGGAGGGGGGTGGGGGCGTTATTACTTTCACACCAGGAGAATCAATCCCTAATTGGAGTGCTGCTAATTCCTGGTTAATTTGCATTGGGGGGGCGGGGCCTGGGGGGCTGTGCGAGGATTTAGGGGGCAGGGGTGCATGCACACATCTGCCCAGGATTTCTGCACCTCTTTTGGCCCCCCCACTAAGTAGTGGGGGCGGGGGCCACTCAGCGTGCAGCTCGCACCATTCGGGAGATTTATGTCACCCCCCCACCCCCGGCACATGGGACGCTCTGCACATCTGGACCCAATCGGCAGGAGCCAGAGAGCATGTGTCAGCCGGTGCCAGCCACGCTTACCCCGCTCGGGCCTGGCTGGGCCCGGTCTGATACGGTACCAGGTATTCCTGCACAAATCAGCTCCATGTGAGGAGATTCATGTTTCCCAGAAGAGATCGGATCTCAGCACGATCGCCTTTCCTGCAGAATAAAATTTATTCCTGAACGTCGCTCTCGCTACACGGCCGCTAGCTCGCTCAGGGACGGAGAGGCGACTGGGGACAGAGCACGCCTCTGCGGGGGAGGGTGTTACGGAGGATTTAAATACTCTGCTTACACCTCATGGTGCGCCAGAGGTGACCTGACCTTCAAACCTGTGGCAGACTACTTTTAAAATATCATAGAGTGAGTTTGTCTGTAATAATGTAGGTGTAGTTTTACAAAAATGGCCGAAACGTTTTGGTGACTTTGAATGTCCTGAGGTATCAAAACACAGAACATTCCTGCATGTGCATTTGCGTAAGAGGATCTGGACTCTGTTTCTGATGGCATGCCTGCGTCGTCACACGCGTCACCCCCACGACCCCAGCGGCCATCTTGGCACATGCCTGAGTGCTGACTCATGGCAGAGGCCAGCCGGACCCCCACCTGACAACCGTCTGACATCTCGCTCATGGGGGGCCATGTCTGAGACCCCAACACATTATTCATGGATCAGACAGGTCTAGTACCATATTCCCACTGCGGCATTCCCTTGTGGGGTTATCAGAAGCATTGAGTGGGCCAGTATGTTACTGGTTTGAGTCGATTCTGTCAGATTTCCTTTTCACCATGTTTCTTAAACTCTTCTCCACCCCTAACCCCCATCCACTTTTCAAACAGGCAACATCTCACCTCCACCCGCTTCTCTATTGGGCCACCCCTCACCTCCACCCGCTTCTCTGTTGGGCCACCCCTCACCTCCACCCGCTTCTCTATTGGGCCACCCCTCACCTCCACTCGCTTCTCTATTGGGCCACCCCTCACCTCCACCCGCTTCTCTATTGGGCCACCCCTCACCTCCTTCTCCTTTTCATCCCTCACCTCCTTCCGCTTTTCACCCCTCACCTCCTTCCGCTTTTCACCCCTCACCTCCACCTGCTTCTCTATCATGCATTTAAAGGGCACCTCCACCTCACCTCCACCTGCTTCTATATCTGACCACCCCTCACCTCCATCTACTTCTCCAATGGGGTTCTCTTCTCCACCCCTCACCCCCACCTGCTCCTATAACGGGGTGCTCCTCCCCTCCCCTCATGTCCTCCTCTGTTTCTTCCCAACAGGCTGCTTTAAGTGCCTTGAAACAGCTGTCAGAACAAGGACTGGACCCTGTGGATGGACCGACGAAGGTAGAAAATGGGTCGCGTGAAAAGTACGTTCCGGCAGAACCGTGAGTATTAAATGGTGCGAGAATTGGGTGGGGAGGAACAGCAGCTCCAGGGCTCGGTTGTAGGCCAGGCCGTCATTGGCGTCTCATCCGCGTCCTAAATGTCCGCCACTGGCCAGCCATAATAGTCGTGTAGGAAAGGCAGCTGCCCATGGCTCCCGGACATGGAAGTCATTTGCCCTTTAAATGTCACTGTTAGGAGAGTGTGGGATCACCCCCCCCATCCACCAGCTGCCATACTGGATCACAATTCCCAGTATGGGTACCTCCGTCATTTCGGATTGTCCCTGCTCGGGGTTCCGATGGCCCGATAACACCTGCCTGTTTGTACTGGGCTTCCCTCTGCAGTTTTAATCGGACACTTTGCATGCCTCCTATCAGGGCTTGATCACCAGCCATCAAGGGACAGATAACCCCGGGCAGGCTCCTCTCCCGAAAGCCCGGGGGGGGCGGGGCGGGGGAGGGCAGGTGAGACACGAGCCTGGAAACAAAAGGAAGCCACTGGAACGATTCAAGAATATTTTCATAGTAGGTGGGGCCCGGAAAAAGGTTACGGAGATGTTTCCAGCGGTGGCTCCGTCCTGACGTGGCAGACGGGTGACTCTACAGGGGCCTATAGATGGCATGGCCCCTTCCACAGCGCTGGCATGGGGCCGGAGGTGGTGTATAACCGTGTCCCGGCCTCACCATGCTGTGTGTGTGTGTTCGTATTCCAGGCAGCCGCAACATCTGGGAGGCAGGATGGACAATAAACAGAGCAGCTCAGACTCTCAGGACTGCAAGGAATCAAAGGCCGTCGCTTAGAGTCCCCCCACCCAGCGGGCCCTTGGCCCCCCGGCCCCTGGCCCTGCCACTTCCTCAACACGCAACTCGCCATGCGAAGATTACCCTCTCCTAAAGCATTACTCTTATTGATCATTTGTAAAGAGAAATTAGTCATTAAGTAAGTTTAAGAGAAATGAATTAATGCATGGTACTGTTAAATAAAGGGAAACCAAACAAAATATAACTAGAAAATTTTCCCTTTTGATAGATTTTTTTTCTGCTAGTTGCCCAGTGTTGTATCAGAAGAAAAAAAAATAAGCTGCTGGTACCTTAAGGGTTAGCGACGAGCTAGCGTTAGCTTCTCACCTTGTTTTTATCCTTTATCACTGAATAACATGCTTGAGTATTTGAGGTTAATTAACCAGCGCCAGTGCAGTGAAAGCTCTAGTGATTGTTTTCATATATAGTGATCCGGCTTCTATGCTGACATTCATCTAACTATATGGATATGTATGACTCTCAGAATACCATACGCAAAAAAAGAAAAAGAAAAAAAAAAGAAAAAATAAGAGATTTATCAGATTAACGGTGCACAGAACGTCTACGGGCCAGGAGCCGCTGTTAGATGTTGACCGAGGTGCTATTCCACAGAAACTGAAGGTGGGTTTTTTTAAGCTGGGTGACAAACATATTCTACCCCTCACCATAGAGATACAATTACTAGAATGGTTCAACATAAAAGCACACCCGACCATACTGAAGTGTATGGCATCTAAATCCACATATCAGACAAGTAAGCATTTTTAGATCAGAATGTAATTCCTCATTGACGACACAAGCTGCTGTTATGCCAGGGTAACTGTGTGTGCCTTCGTCTAGGAACCCTATGGTTAGCAGGGCAGCCAAACGGACTACACAACCAATCTAGTAATTCAATATCTATGGCCGCCCCTACTCCTCCCAGTTTTGTCGACTACACATCTTTGCCCATTTTATGTGTTTTAATGATTGCGTGGCTGGATCGGAAGAGGGCCCGCAGATGCCCTTTCAAAATGTTTATGAAAGAGGGTTTAAAAAATATTTAAAAAAAAAAAGTTTTTCTGACACATGGGATGTCCTCTGACTGGGTGCGTTGTGAAATTGTGTCTGTAACTGAATGGAAAATGCAGTAAAACCACTTCAGTTCACATTTGAAAACCTGCATTGTGTCTTATTTCGACATCAAAGGTGCAGGTCCGCTTTGAAGAATGGGCCATGGGCACCGGGCTGGTTTCTGCTCCAGTTCGCTGTTAAGTTCCCAGTCTTTGTTCTTTGAAAAGTGTCTTTTATTTCATGGTTTCCCAGATAGATAAACAGATCATTACTAAAAACCACCAAAACTGACCAACGATCAGACAAAGACAAAGATCCAAACACATCCCAACCTATCACCTGATCCTAGAGATCAGCACGTCTAAGGGAGGATCACAATGGATCAAATGCAGTTCTGGATCGTTGTAACCTATCGGGACCTGAAAAGGTCCATTCTTAGGTGGACTGCCAACCAATCTGTCAGTGTGTACAGAACAGAACATTCCAGTTCCAGTAAGCCACTTTCTGACTCATACTGGAGAATTGTGAGAACTGATAATTTCTGAAACAGATTCATTCCTCGTGTCCGGATGGTTCTGTCCATCCTAAGTAGCTGTACTCTTCTGCTCTGCTAATCTGGGTTATCAGCCCAATCAGAGCTTCATTAGGAAGCACAAGGTATTGATGGACGTTCTTCATCATTGATATCTAGATGTTAGTGCCTCTCCAAAGTGAGCTGCATGCTAGAACATTCCGCACGGGTCTCTGTGAGTTCTGCAGGGGCTGCCTGTGGCTTATCTGCTTCCAGGATCAGCATGTGTCAGTGTGCACTTACCCTCCTGCTCCTTAACTGGGGGGGCGGTGCAGGCGATTAGACGGCCCCCGTGAGTCACGTGACCCAAGCGGGGTGACAACACCCGGCAGCATGGCGAGGGGCATGTCACACGCAGGTTTATCAGGAATGGCACCAGGCTTCTCTAAAGTGTGCTGTAACGCTCGGTGTAGACGCTGTACCGGAACACGATTAACTCAGATGTGACATTATTCCCAGTTCCGACAGGCTGTGGTGCATCAGTCAGCCATGCTGGGAGGGAGGGACTGAAGGGGAAATAATCAGAGTAAGGATGAGGGCGATGATAATGACAATGGCGGATTCTTCACTTGTGTGGATGTCATCGGTTTAAAACCCTGTTCTGTTGAGTGATGGTTAATACCAGGACTATGTACAGAAAAGGCTTGTTGTATTATTGTACTCTGGTGCGTTCCTCGCTTTCTGGTTCACATTTGGCACATGGGATATCGGCCTTTGACTGCATGAATGAATGAACGTTACTTTACATAGCGCTTTTCAAGACAGCCGAAGCGCATTGCAGAACCAATGGGGAGTCATTGTGTGGCACCCACCTATGCTGCAGTGCATGACTGAAGTTAATGACCACCCATCCTTCCCAAGTTAAGATTATGGGTGATATTGGCCCAGGTCATGCACACATTCACAGTTAAATGCTTTTGTTACCAGTGTCTACTATCCAAAGGAATGGCGTCAAGTTTCCCTTCCTCGGTTGCCGTGGGGGGGTGTGTGTGACTGCAATACCGAGGCCTTGCTGCCTTGCCCCCCCCCCCATATATGTTGGCCTTCTCTCACACAGGAAGTGATGGAAACATGAATGTAAGCATCTCCCACAGCTGACAACGTCACTGAGGAACAGTGACCACAGCCAGAGAGCATAAGCTCAGGGTGATCCAGCCCCATGTCACCTCCAAGGACACCAGCTCTCAAAGAGCTGCTCATGAGTGACAGGAGTCCAGCTATTTGAGCATTGAGGATGATGAAGAGGAGGTGGAATACACAGAGGCACCCATTGACAGTGTGATGTCATCGCTGGGCCTCTGAGCAAGGCCCTTAACAAAATGTACACTGCTTTGGATAAAAACGTCGACTAAATAAATGAAATGTTAAATGTAAACATGCTCCTGCGGTCAAATTTCACCCATTCATCTCCCAGAAGCCTTTGCAAGTAAGTGTTTACCTGGTAACATATGCTGCTCGTAACTCGGAAATTCTGAGTTCCTAGTCGTAAATTTCATGCCCCCTGAAGTCGGAATTCCGACTCGTGAAGCCAGAGGAATATACACAACCCCAAGCTCAGAATTCAAGATGGCTGCGCCCTTTATCAATAAAAGTTATAGCTGTAGTTATATACTGTTTATTATCACTTGCATCTTATTTGTGGCTCATTAAATCGGGCGCACACCCAATACTGTCCGGCCGCTATCTGTATGTATCTTGCTACAGTGTTTTATGCACAAAATACTGTGTAATGCATTATTATCAACTGATATTTCTAACAATGGCTAGCAATTCACCGGGTTAGAACTGGGGCCTGTTTCAGAAATCAGGATTTTCTTGCTTAGCTGGATAACATCAGGTTTAAAAGTTGTTTGGGTTAAATGTAAGTGAATGAAAATAAAGTCCATTTAAACTGGGGCACCTCGAATCTGAAAAGTTATCCGGCTAAGCAAAAAACCTGTTGGTGTCCCTGGTATTACTAAGTAGCTTTCCGACTTGCTGTACTGGAACGCAGTTAATTCAGGTGTGACATTATTCAAAGTTCCGAGTTCCAACCTTAGAGGTAAATGGAACCCAGCAATATCCATTTCTTAAGAGCACTTAAACAGCTAGATACCAACAAAGAACACAAGGGGTGTGGTTTGGGGTAGAAACACACACACACACACACACACACACACACACACACACACACACACACAAAGATAATAATCTAAAATCATTTTATTAATTTAAGTTAGGTACAGACACTAAACATCATAACCACATAAAAATTGCTCCTCTAATGAGCAGTCTTTAAAGAAAATTACAAAAGGAGGTTTGTCATAATTGTCAACAAATGGCATACAATTAGAGGTAGAAGTTTTAGGCTGATAACAGTCAATTAAAAAACCCTATTGGAATGTAGTTAATTCAGATCTGTGCCTCTGAAGATGACGTTTTAAGAGAACCAAAATGTTTACCCGCACCCCCTTCCCCCCTTTTGGGCAGTCATTAATCACCATAGTGAAGTATTAACCTCCCTCCTGGCCTGACAACTTAATGCATCGATGAAATGCTTCTCCATGACTCCATGACTCGGGCCGGACATACCAATGCGTGGATGTACACCACGTTAGGGTGTATCAGAAATTCTGTTAACCAGTTAATGCCCACTGCTGAGCCCAACCATTCAGGTAAACTTTCTAACCAGTTTACTTGTGTGTAAAAAATAAAAAAAAAAAATGGGAAGAGATGAGGCAGGCGAGAGGTAAATATCACAGCTGCTATTATTCACATAGCGACTGTTTAAATTTCAGCTGTACAGCCGCAGAGCATTGACCTTTGACCTCTCCGGGAGGAGAAAGTATGGCGACTTGATCTGACAGCAGTTAGCGGTCGAATCAGTTTGATGTCGTATTTCAGGACTGGGATCCAAGACACTGTATTTGACACGGACACCCCCACCCCCTTGTGGAGTCTGACATGGGCTCCGTCGCCGCGGCACGGAAGCAGTGCAGTGGAAGGCTGATGCAGTCCTGCTCTACGGAGGCGGCCGGCAGTGTGGGAGGTGCAGTTACAGTGCATTTCTACATCAAAGTGACGAGACTCGCTCTTCACACAGTAACATACTGTATATCCCCAAATGCTAAGTGATACCGGAGACTACGTTACGGAAGTAGTTAATTACTGAATACCTTGTATGATTTCAAAACTATTGACAGTATATAGACAGTTGGTTTCTTTAAACAAACCTTAAAGAGAACAAATAAATCCTTAGTGTAGCACACAGCTTTCGTTGTTCCAGAGGAACAATATGTTGAACCTTTGCATTTGCACAATGCAAGTGCAGCAGGTGGGCAGCAGTCTCTCTCCCAGGGCCCTTCAGTGGTCTTATCCTCTTTATTACAGGAAATGGACACCCTTAGGAACAGCGCCCCCTAGATGCCGTTCTTCGCCTCGTTGTTGTTCATGGCCTCCTTCCGCTGAGCCAGGAAGGGATACATGCACTTGTCTGCTCCGAGAAACCGGTACATGCAGACGATGGCTTCGAAGGGGAGGATGCTGGGAAAAGGCAGGGGGGGGGGGGAAACAAGAGAAGAGTAAGCTTCCTCATGATGGGACTGTCATTACATTTACTTTATATGGCAGATGCTTTTGTCCAAGTACAACAAACAGCACGTGCCATCAAGGAGTCCATTAGGCTTCAGTGCGGCTAAGCCAGCAGTTCTCAGTCCTGTTCCTACTACCCCCCACCCTTCCAGAATGTTTTCATTCCAACCCTACCTTAAATCAGGTCCTTAATAGGCTAATAATGAATGTGGCAGGCTGAAAGCAGTGTGGAAAGGTATCAGGACCTACTGAGCTAAGCCGAGCTTACAATGGATGCCCAGGTACAAGTGTAAGTAGTATTAGAACAAGAGTTACACATCTACCAAGCAAAACAAGAACCTAACAAAAGTACTGTTTAAACCAGTAGCAAGAGCAACATTAAGAGCCTTCCGGAAAGACGGACAGTGCCAAGCTCCTTCAGAGCCAGATCATCGAAAAACCACGCAGGGCCCACCTCTTCATGAAGTTGACCATGTAGACGATGCGAGGCGTGCAGATCATGGGCTGGTCTGTCAGGATGGCCCGCATGGCCTGCTTCACGCAGTACTCTGGCTTCAGTGGGGGCAGGAACGGCTCGATCTCCTTCCTGGAAAGGGGGGGTGGTGGGGGGAGTTAGCATAACCAGACGGTCAACGGTTATCAGACGGTCTGAAAACAAACACCTGCTGAAGGTGAAAGTCCTGGCCACTTAGAGGATGCTTCAGCCAACAAGAAAAGGTGTGTAGGATCTCAGAAAACATCATCCCTGAAGCCCTGCCATGCTCAGCACAGGATTAGACTTAAGCAATGTCTAGAGGACATCGTTTCCTGTGTGGGGGTGTCACCTACACCGGGCTACTTTCATGGGGAAACACCAGCAGTCTGGGGTTACTCACCTGATCCTACAGCCTCGGAACATTCCGGTGTCGACCAGGTAGGGACAGACCAGCGTCATCTTGATCCCGTCCTTCTCTGCAGCCTTCAGCTCGTGGCTGAGGGACTCGTGAAATCCAATCGCGCCGAACTTACTGGCGCAGTAATCCTGGCAAGGAGAGAGCAGAGGGTGAAGCCGTACGCCGGAACGCTCATTAGATGGCGTCCATAGGCAAACACCACCCCCCCACCCCAGAACGAGGCCCTCAGTTTCAGTCGTCTACGTTAAAGAGCAGCTTTAGCTCTGCAGGAATGTTTTGATGTGGTCCTGCATGGTAATAATCTTCAAAGAGCTCTCAGTAAACACAGACGCATTGAGATAAACCGTAATGGATTAAAAAAAAAAAAAAAAAAAAAAGGAGAGAGAGAGAGACTGTGCCCACAACATAAAACAGGTACTTTCAGTCACAAAATTCATGCAAGCTTATAAAAATCATGTGATGCATTCTGGGAAGGATAGGTTAAAAAAATGCTGTGGTTTCTTTTAAGTTACACTAGTAGACACGGACAGGCAGAAGGACGGAAGCAAGCGATTCGCTGGGAAAACGGAGCTGGTGGGGCGAGACTCAAAGGGGGAACATCTGGGTATGATCTAGAGGGCCTCAGCATTAATATTTACAGGAGAGTTATAAAGCCTGAGCCGTTCCTAACAGGTGGGATGACAGAAAGCACAACAACGTGGCTGCGGCTCGATTCTCTGGGGGGGGCGCTGGCAAAAGGCTGGCCAGCGGGCAGGAACCGGAGCCGGCCTCCAGATCCACGAGGCGACCCCCAGGCTTGGCCCGTGTCCAACATTCCGATCCAGGACCCCTGACACCCCAGTCCGGATGCCTGTGTTCCCACAGGTGAAAACCAGCCCCAAAAAACAGCTCCCCTCTTGGGGGGGGGGGGGGGTCTGGCAAATCACATCCCACAGTTGGCAACAGAGCCAGGCTACCAAGCGGAACACCCCAGCCCCGCGCTCTGGGGTGACGGTCTGCTTTCAGGCCCGCAGAACACCAACCTCCACGCCAGCTGTGCTGAACAAGCCGAGGGAGCTGGCGACTGTGACGATGTGGCCGTGGTTCATCTCCAGCATCTTGGGCAGGAACGCCTTGGTGGTCTGCAGGTGGGGATGGGGATGGGGACAGAGAGGGAGCTTTTATTTTTAAAAGGAACACCAGGTCAAAAGTGACAGTGGCAGGCCAAAGCAGGGATGTGCAAACTTCATAAAGACTTCATAAAGGGCGGGGAGGAGAACCACAGAACCCGTTACACCTCACCTCTGCCGCAGGAGAAAAATGTGGAAGAAAAACAGGACCCATGGTTTTCATGAGGGTGAGAGTCCTCCTGCTCAGCTGATGGTGTGGCATTGTCACACGCACACGCACGCACACGCACACGCACACACGATATGGCTGAATTGGGCCTGATCGTGGGGGTAAAAGCTTGTGATTTAATGTCGGAGCCCCTCCCACCACTCCTGTCTGGTTCACAAGTCCTCAAGGACAGCAGTTCACACCCTTGGTGTGACCACCAACTACAGCACCATACCATCAGTGGGGGGTGGGGGTGCTCTTCACACAACAGATGTGGGATCATTCAGGAGGTATATGCAGCTTATAAAGAGAGCCCTTACATCAACACAAGCCCCCCCCCCCGAAAAACGGTACCAACCAGTACAACGTATGTAGGAATTTCCACAGCTGAGCTGGAGCAGCTGGTCGAACGGAGAGCGTTACTCACACCCAGCCTGCACCAGAACAGCCACTCTGATGAAATATTCAGTCTTTGCATGATAGTCTGACAGGCAGGCTGGTGGGGGGGGGGGTGCGTGCAAATTAAACATTACTTCAGCTAAACGTGGAGAACAAATGCGGAATGAATTCTGCATCGGAGCAGCTTGATTCGGGCCCCGGAGACCCCAGCATGATTACAGCCCCCCCCCAGCCAGTCACGGAGATATGATCAAGGCTGCCTTCGCATGACACAGTCCATTTAGTACATTACAAACCCCCCCCCCCCCAAAAGAGAGACACCTATTAACATTGTGCTGCACCTGGCTGATTACAGGGGCCAAACTTAACCCCACTGCACCAAGCCGTTTAGTCGGTGTCACTATATTTAGCAAGCTGTCCAAGACACACCCCCTCCCCCCAAATGAAAAGTCTGTGTGTGTGTGTGTGTGTGTGTGTGTGTGTGTGTGTGTGTGTGTGTGTGTGTGTGTGTGATAGAGAAAGAGAGTGAGATAGTGGGGTAGGGGGCCTTCAACTGGTCAAGCACCCCATCTTAGGCAGGACATCTGTGGGGGTGTCACCCCACCGCCGGTTCTGAAGCTCGTGGGGATCTGCACGTTCCAGCCTCACTTTATATTCTGGTCCGTGCTGCGGAGTTCAGGTCACCCGGCTCGCCTCCCGGACGCTGCACCGAGCAGCTTCACTGTGGCAGTCTTCCCTCTAAATGCCAGCACTTATACCAAAGCCCCCCCCCCCCAGGCCCCTCCAAAACAGTAGAGTAACTCCTCAGGGACGTGGCGGTCCCGGTCCAAACACCAGCTCTCTGGCAACTGCGTTTCCCCGCACAGAGAGCCCCGTCCGAGCTTCGCCCGCAGCTTTGCCGTGGATCAGAGCAGCCGAACACGCAGCCAGCTCTGCGGACCAGTACTGGACGAGCCAGATGGCCGTAGTTACTCACCCTGTGGTAACCAAAACAGCCGCTTAATAAAATATAAACGAGGGCATTTCAGGTTAAGTGCCCGTCTCCGGTTTAACTCTGGTGATGACAAAAACCATCATCAGGTTTCAACTGATCAGCATCCGGGATCAATAAGCTAACGCTACCATTCCAGAGCTGCTTAGCCAACGGAACGACCAGGCCTGCCGCGATAATTACGCTATCAACTTATCGAACGATATACGCACATGACCGATACTTTTTTTGACCGCGATTTTGTCAAATTGTGTTTACATAAGAATGAACGCCACCAACAGCCAGTCGTGCTGCTTCTGCTCTCGTCCGCTCTCTGCGTTAGATGTCTGCACGACGGAATTTTAGATTCCGCTCCCGCCCACACCCGCAACATTCTGCCACGCACCCACCCACTTGTCATATTTTGTTCCACTCCCACCCACAATTTTTACGTCTCATCCTGCTTGTCATTATTATTATCATTATCATTATTATTATTATCATTATTATTAAACTACTACTGCAACATTGTTTTTAATTATACTCAATGCCCTGTTCACTCAACAACATGAATAAGTTTGATAAAACAAAACACCATTTCTATTCTCCTGCTCCCCCATTGAAAAGTGAAAATGTATCACACTGTACTCTACTGCCACGGGTCCTGTGGGAATGCAGACCTCTGCTCTGTGCAGCAGATGCAGTACAGACAGCTCCTCCACACACAGCGGACAGTGACAGGTGAAGGTTACTCAAACGTGTTACTCAAGGCTAATCGGGGCATGTTTTAATAGGTGTGTCCCCTCCCCCACTGCATAATTCCAGCTAGAAAGTTCAGAAGAATAAGTCCAAATGGATTCAGTTTCAAAACCACATTCTACAGCTTCAGTGTGGGAACATTTTGGTGTTAAGCCGAATGAGAGGAGAGCCCATTAACGTGAATGAGGCGGCATGTCGACTGGCAAAAAAGTGGCGATACAACAAACCCAAGAACTCATCTAAAACATAACTACCACCCAGTTTTCCGAGCTGGGAACAAAAACTGCAGTGGGAGTTTGGAAAGGGGCCATCGCAACAGCTGTCTGTCACGGACGCCCTTGCCTGACAGTGCAAATATAAACGTGACCGCATGAAACGGCGCATGCTCACGGGGACTGTAATTCACTATATAGCTGTAGAAATGCAGCCATTAACCACAGCCGAAAAAGCAAAGAAAACGCACAATTCTGGAATGTCAGTTTGGGAGATGTACAACAAAATGTCCTGCAGAATATCATCTCCTTTTACTCTGATACTACTGATATGTGGTCAAGCTCAAATATGTCCCTATACATCAGCTTGACCATACATGACATCACATCACTGCTGGCTGGACTCCGCAGTCAGATGTTAGAGATCAGAAACCTGCAGCTACACACCCAAAGCATTGTGTGGTTTTATGTAGGATTTTTTTTGACATTCCAATTACAATATCTGCATATTCTTATGAATTGAAAGTGCACTGTTTTTTGAAAGGGTGTGCTTGCTTCATCACACCATTATATTATATCAGTGGCATAAAATGGTCTTAAAATGATAATGTTGTTCATCGCAATTATTTCTGGGACAATGTCTTCCAACAAAGAGTACTTATCGTGACAGACCCAGCAACCACCATCCCCCCCCCCCCCCCCCCCCCTGAAAACCCCCCACCCCCCCCCCCCCCCCCCC